ACGGTTCTGCTGTGCCCTTCAGAGGAATGGCGCAGTAATTTTTTATCTGTTTTTTTAGGTATTTTCCAATTATTGTTATTTGGTAGCAAAAAAGGAATTCTGATGTAATTTGATTTGCTCTTAATTGCTGTTTGCAGTGATGTTCATGATCGGAACCAGTTCTTGAGAGGGGAATGATTCTCATTACAAATTTTAGGCTGGTCGAAATGTTTTTCCGAGGTTTCCCTACGTGCTAAAAATACCCTATTTTTGGAAACTTAGCAAATTCTTAACCAAAAAACACCCCCTTCTAATTTTTTGGCTCTTTTGGCCAAGACCCACAAAATTAGTGCCAAATGACGGACTCGTTGGGTCGTGAGGGGATCGAATCCCAAAGAAATGTTTGAGCTATCTGCACATTTAATTATGAGCTAGCTACCGTTCTGTTTTAATGATCTTGAGTTTTCTGGGCGGCTCGGAACTGATGTGAAGACTCATTATTACACCGTTTTTTAGCCTTGCGATAAACAAGTGTATTTTAAACGGGCACTTTTCGCGGAAACATCCTTGTCCTTTTTGGTCGTCAGTTGGTCGTCATCTCCAAATCTTTACTTTCGACACTTAACATGTTTGACATTTCTGCATTTTAAATGCTCGTTGTTCTCAAATTTGTTTTCATGTTGATTGTAAATTACCTAGTCCAATTTCAGTTTTTTTTTATTTCGATTTTTCTCTTTTTTTTTCATTTGGCTCATGCAATTTCTGTTTATATAATGTATTTTTTGGCCTCATAATGCTTCGTTTGATGAGCAACAAAATTTCTATCAAAATATTTTGATTTGAGATTAGATAAAAATCTGAACTAAGAAAAGATAAATTATTTGTTACATTTTGATTTTCAGTCAAATTCTAAAAGACCTGTCGTCTCAAATTGGATGTAGCTGGGGAATTGGCCGATTGTCCGCAGGAAATCAAGTGACAGTGGCATATCTGGTCACCTGGTGTTCCATCAAAACTTTATGGTTGTTTCTGGTTTTTGGCTACGATAGTGGTGCTTTTCGATGTATAGTCGTGAGAGTGAAAAAATATCTGTTCCACGACAAATAGGCCGGAAAAAAATCAATCGGCTATTCAGACTCGCAAGTTTTCTTAGGTTGATGGTTTTAGTAAATTAAGTTTATATTGTAAAATATCTTTTCTTGAACCATACATACATCCACATTTTATTAGCCTATCGCAAAAAAAAACACCGCGCAACTCCAAGAAACAACGTGATGTGTCGGAAAAGTTCGTACAAGATGTGATACGTCCTAGAGTGGTGTAGTCCTTTGCGATGGGGTCCGCAGTAGTCGGATCTACCCCGGTGTATCCTGGGGATTTGGTCTGAGCTTTTGGGCTGTCGGGCAGGTATACGTATTTCCTACTACCTGCGCGATGTATTGGATTACGTGCTTCCAATATGTCACCGACGGTTCATCAAACGAGGCCATTTCTGCAAACGCCACACGCCGCATTGCCCAGTGCTCAAAGACGTAAGTGCGAACCTTGGGGAGCCTTGCTTCGGCAAACGCAAACCTTGGGGGTCACTCGACATTTTTGTGTTGCACATGCCCCGGCTGAATACAGCCTTGAAAGCCACCAGACCAAGTGCCATTAGTAGTCTCGCAGGTCTTCGGATAGAGACGACTTTTGGTACAACTTTCTGTGTTAGTGGAGACCAGAAACGGGGAACTGTGTTCTACAGAATCCCCTGATGTTGAGAAAGCTATTTGTGGAAAACGGGCTTTCCCGAAGTTGCCATGAATGGTTACCGCCACAATGCTTTTAGCACTGAGGATCCTATGATGTAATCATAGGAAGGGTTCATACCCGGTGATTTTAAAAAGCTCGGATTCATAAGGTGGGTAGCTAGGCAACTTGTTACCCTCTAAGAATAGTGCATCTTGGTGAAACTAACTCTCAGTGATGGTCATTTATGACTATGAGAATACTGAGGACCTACAAAATACGTGATTTTGTGAGAGCCCTGATCAGAACATAAATATAAGAGATTAAAGCTTTCCGCGCTCATTTAAAAAGGGCATAAACATCTGATTAATGTTAAAAAAGGCAACGGGTTAAGTTACTTATAACAAAAAACGATGAGCGTTTCAGCAAAGGAAGCGCATTTTTTATTTTGAACAAAAAATTATTTTACAAAAAAATCAACCAAATTACAATTTTTGTGCAATTTGTTGAAAATATACAGAAAACTCAAAAACGGACTCAAGAACATCAATGCTAAAAACAATAGAAAATTAACTCGAATGATTGAGTGAGAACAAACTTATATTCAATGCTGATAAAAACAGAACTTATTGTTTTTCGACAGGAGAAGAGTTTAAAAAATTTAGTTTATAAAGAAGAGGAAAAGATTCCGCTTAAGAATATGGCAGGTGTCTTACAGTATTAGTAGACAAAAGACTTAATTTTTGAGCTGAGCTAAACAAATGCTTAAGCAGAATGACCGTTGCAATTATGTCATTATAACTGCTTGCGACCTATGGTAAAAAAAAAAGAGTGATGCTTTTCAGATCATTAGCTTTGTCTCATTTATCTTGTAATTTAGCATTCGTCAAAACCTACCCATTTCTCAAATTCACAGACTAAATAGACAAAATAACTGTGGAATCAGACGGTGCTACTTCGCAGAAAACATGAACATGCAAAAGATCTATTTCTCAAGTTTTAAGTCTTACCAGCCGAAATTTTAATTGCCCAATGTAACCTGAAAATTCTATGTGGCAAAAAATTTATACAAACAAAATCGGGAGTATATTATTAACAGAGTACTTGTGAAACTTAACAAACGCAGAAAACAAAAACCTTAAAATAGATTCCTGAAAACAAATTCGTGAAAGAAATTTGTAGCAAGCAATCAGTGCAATAAAAAAATGAGCAATTTAAATGTGAAGCTGAAAAACGTTAGATATAAAAAAAATCAAACTTAATAGACATACACAAAAAAGATCCCATTGATAGATTCATTGTTTTTTTTTCGAGATTAGTTTTTACATCTATAATATTATTGATTTATTTTTTCTACACTAGCTTTAATTGTAAATTTTTATGCTGGTGTTCGACGATTCCAGCGTTTTTGACTCTGCTAGAGCTTGCTCTTGGTTGACGTCCAGAGTAAATGATATAATGACCTTTTTTGTGTTTTTTTGTCGCGATAGTTCGTTTTCACAAAATTGATATACCTTGGAAATTGAATATTATACTAAGTAACAATATAATTTAGAAATTAATGTTGAGACTTGGGAAATTGCAGTTGTATGCTGTCGTTTTTGAAAAGTCCTATTTTGAAAGTTGAATTTATAGATCTGAAAATCATAGTGTTCTTGAGATAAAACCATTTATCTGAAAATGACGAGTTTTTTATTTATTCCTGATTTGTTTTGGTTAGTGTCTATTGAGTACTTGTCTAGGAAGGCCATCAAAAATCAAAGTTAGCAAATTTAGTTACTGAAGTTAGCAAAGGTCGGGTTGCTTAAGAATAGTTTATAGTTGCGGAATATTTTAGTTGTTCCCCCCTTGATTTTTTTGTTGATAGATAGGGGTATATTATTTCACCTTTTTTTCCAAAACCTTGCTTGATGCAAAAACTTTTTCTTTTTATACTTGAAATTGTAGCAGGAATAAAACATTCAACAATAAATAAAGAAAACTTTTCATTTTTTCACAAATTCACTATCAAAAACTTCTGACACAACGTTGGACATTTAGAACAGTTAGGGATTTTACAAAGACGCAAGCAATCAAGTTTTGTTTCGAAAGTATTTTAAGTTCCTACGCTTAGATATGGTCATTGTTTTACTTTGCAAACAACCCGGGTTGACCTTCATAGACCGGAAATGCTAATCATACAATTTCATGCACTTAGTCTATGGAAAAATGCTAGTCATAGAGTTTTCATACATTTTTGCAAAATGAGTTTAATCGATTTTCAAAGGTATTTTATTGTTGTTTTGGTATCAAAATTGGTATCTCTTCATAAAAAAAAGAAAAAAAATGGTATGAAAAAAACGCTAATCATAAAATTTCCATATATGGAAATTGTATGATTAGCATTTTTTGTTTAAATTTTTTTGTGAAAAAAACGCTTTGAACAATCAATTCGACTGCTGGCAAAGCATTTAAGCGTTTTTTGGGCTGCTACAAATGAAAACTTTGATTTTTTTTTATTTTTGTTTTTTGAAAAAAAAAAAAAACACTAGCCATACAATTTCCATATATGAAAATTGCATGACTAGCGTTTTTTTAGAAAAAAAACCAAATTTGAAAAAAAGGAATCAAAAACTCCAGATCGTAGATAGGTAAATCAGCACATCAATTTTGAACTTGATGTGAACTGTTTGCAGTGACTCGTTTGTTTAAAATAGACTTTGTCAGGAATCAAAATTTTCAACAAAAAAAACACGGGTGTTTTTCCGAGAATCAATGACAAATCATGATAGGTTCTACTTCTAGAAGGCGTTCTTGGTTTTAATTTAGCAAGGATTTAAAGACAATACGGTTTGTTTGCGACCATTTAAATTAAGAAGTAGTGTTGTCTCTGGATGTATTCTAAATTTTTTTCAGGAAAAATCTTGTATCACGAATAATCATTAGGATGGTTCGGGGAACATTCTTTTTGAACCATTCTGGGACGTGATTCAAACCAGCTCAAAAATTAAGAACCTGTCCCTACAGAGAAAAAACTGAGCCGGAAACTCTCATGTTGAGTCTGTTTTCTAATGAGTAGGTCTTAAAGGGGTTGCTCGCTCGCTTTACCTGTTTCTGTCTGCCATAGCTTGGTCGACTTCTGACTGCATCTTCTCATACATGATTTCAAAAGTGATCTCAAAAGTTGAAATTTCTCACGTGGGAAAAATTTAGGATTTTTATGATGTTTGAATGTTTGTTGATGTTCAAATGTTTGTTTCAATTTTTCAATCTGAGTGTCAATTAAATGTGTGTTTTATAGGGAACTGTTTTAGATGTTGATGTCAGATGTGATTGGAAGAGAAGAAGTCCAGAATATTGATGCTTCTGGTGGACTGTTTCCTGTTTTGGATTACTCAGCTAGCTAACAGGTTTTTTTTCTTAATTTTTCTGAGGCAGTCCCTCCTGGTTTGGAGTCCCCCTAAGAAAAGATTAAGAAATGCTCTGCTTTCTCAGTGTGTGAGGAGAATTGACTATGAGAAATCAATTTTCTCTGGTTTTTTCTTCTCTGTTCAGAGAGTGCTCGTCGTATGGGATGGGAATTAAAGTAGTTTTTTTTGCCTCATTTTGCTGGATTTCTAATTGTTAAAAAATGCTTGTCATAAAATTTTCATATATGAAAAGTTTCTAAATTTTCAATTTCCATATATGAAAAAAGGCTAGTCATACACTTTCCCTATATGAAAAAATGCCAGTCATACAATTTCCATATACGAAAAAAATACTAATCATAGACCTTTCATGCAATTTTCTGTACGTATGGAATTGCATGGAAAGTGTATGACTGGCATTTTTCCATATATGGAATTTGTATGACTAGTATTTTTGGTCATCCCGGGAATGGTAACACCAAGTTACTCTTCAGATAAAATAATACGCTTGTGAATTTGCGATCTGCGAATGAAGCAGAAAAGACGGTGTAGCATATGTTTTTCAAATGTAGTCTGAAATTTTGGGTCTTTGCTATGCACTGTAGACTTTGGAGATCAACCGTACAAGTTACCTACTATTCAATTTAAGAAAATTGAACTGAAACATTTGTATAATTTGTCTAATTAAGAGCAGATAAATGCAATCACCCATAAAAAAAGTAAAAACCAATTTTATTGGTGCGTTTGTATGAAATGCATGTTTTATACATAATTAATTTCCATATTTTTACTTGCTTGGGAGGACATTCTACGATAGGTCCTTTAGGCGGAGAGATTGCACGGTTGATTAGACTTTGGATGTTACTCATTTATTCTGTAATAGATAGTTTATTTGTGCTCCCTGTTTCAGTCTCACTCTGACACTCTGAAACTGTGCGGTGTGCTAACACACAAAAAACTGTGTATATCCACACGAATTTTTGGTACAAAAAAGACACGATTTTGTAGCCATTTACATGATTTTTTTCGTGTGAATTCTCACAATTTTTTTGTATGGTTTACACAATAAATTGTGTACTTTTTACACTACAACCAGAAATTTGTCGTGTAAAAAACACACGAGTAATCGTGTTAAGATACGAATAAAAAAATTGTTTTACATGACAAATTGTGTAATTTTTACGTAAAAAACTGATGTTTCGTGTAAAAATTACGCGGTTTATTGTGTGAAATAAATTTCTTTTTCACGATAAATTATTTTTCATCTGTGCAAATATACAAAAAATTCATGTAAAAGGTTACAAAATCGTGTTCTTTTTGCACAGATAAATCGTGCGAATGTGCACGATTTTTTTTTGTGTCGGCACATGATTATAAATAGTTGAGCAAGTTTAATTTGAACAGAGCAAAAAAATTGAGAAGCGTTAAGATGCAGCATTAAAGTCACCGTGAACACAAAACAAGTTGAGTGGGCGAGTTTGAGTGAAAAATTGGGCGAGTGAGTCGACTTGAGCAACTGGTACAGATGAGTTTCAAGTTTGCATACGTAAAGCGACTAATTAAAACAAGTTTTGTACAATTTAGTCCTCAAACTTTTGCCCTGTTTTCTGATACCTGGATTTTTTCTGGTTTTTTCTTTGTTTTTTTAAGCAGGAGCAAATGAGTATAATAGTAATTACTATATTAAAGTGATACAAAAAAATTGGAGTGATAGATATAAATGAGTAAGTTTTTAAAAATTATGAATTCTAATCTGGCTTGTCTAACGTTTTTTTAGACTTCAAAAAAGCGTTTAATATCGTTTTAGGTTCAATTTTTAAAATGCAATTCGAAAAAACCCTTGATAATGAATCAAGTAAGTATTTTTGCAAAATTGGATTTTTCTCACGATTTTTTTAGCACACGGTGTGCGTGTCAATCTCCACAATTCGTTTAAAAAAACGGTTTTTAAACACTTGAATTAATGAGCATTTTCTCGGCAAAATAACTCCGGAATTTTGAAAACATAACGATAATTTTTAGCAAAATTTATCATCGGTTACATCGGCCACAAAACATCAGCATAACCCAAAGCAAGCTGCAAAAATGGCCAGTATTTGTCCTTGAGACATATTGCTCTTTTTAAAGGTCAGCCTTAATCAAGGCTGAACCAAATTAGAGCGAGAAGACGGTTAAAATAGGTTTTTTTGGGGGGGTTCGAATCTGGTTACGGATCGTCCCATCAAGTTCGGGGATTTTTGAGTTCTAGAAAGGAAATGACCTAGGCGGGATTCGAACCGGCGCCGAACCCGCCGGGACGCACCCTGTATACGCTCGGCTACTGTCCCTATATACATTTACAATTTGGTTCAATTTATACTTTCGCTTACATTTACATTTATATGCATGCATACTCTCGCTTACATTTGCGCTGCAACACGCTGTTATTTTTTATTGTGTAAAATCATTCGATATTTTGAAAATTTCTGTGTTTTACACAATTTTTTGCATCACACGATAACTTGTCGGAAAAATTAACTCGATAAGTTTTTAGAGTGTGTAAGGACAATCTTCTACTGATGTCATCGAGAGGTCGAACGAATACCCGCACTGACAGAAAAGGATAAGGATCAATTTTAATATGAAAAAAAGTACGTTGATTAATTTAGATCGATTTTAGTATGAAAAAAGTACGAAGATTAAATAAAAAAGATGAAGATTGATTTGGATCGATTCAAAATTTATTTAAATTGATCTTGAATCCCAGCTAAAAAAATTGATCTAAATCGATTTTAAATCAATTTAAATGCATTTTTTCCAGTCTGAATTTGTTTTTATTTTTGAGGGGATTAAAACGGATTTAAATCAATTTTTTTCATTCGAGTTTCATCAGTTTCAAATTTTTATTGTATTTATTTCTTGCCTATCAATTTTCATTTTACATCCATAGCGTATTGAAGCATAAAAAAGACCAACAAAATGACCAAAATATCGATAAAATTCTTTGATTTTCTTGCTTTCAGTGAGTTCAAAAACTGATCTATATTGACCCTTTTCTTGATTCGTTTCATAAGTTGTTGCTTAAAATCTGATTTAATTTCATAATTTTCTACGATTTTATTGCATATTATTGAGATCGCAATTTAATTTTACCTGACCCTTTTCTGGTTTGTTAAATTTTGCCCATAATCTGATTAACAATGGTTTTCTGTGATTTCATTGCAAATTTTTGAGTTTAAAACCTGATTTATGTGGATCATTTTATTGAATTCTATAACATCTGGCACGAGTATTTATGTTTAAAAAATTGAAAATAAAAAAAATGCATCAATTTTTTTAAAGGGTATGTTTTTTTTGCCGTGTTAGCAAAATAATCGATTTGAGTGTGTCGGAAAATCTATCGAAGTCGATTTAAATCGATTTTTCAGACACTTAAATTGATTTAGAATTTTCAAAAAGATCGATTTAAATTGATTTAAAATGGATTTAAGTGAGATTCTGATAGATTTAAGTGAGATTCGGATGGATTTTAGTGAGTCGGAAAATCCATCGAAATCGATTTGAACTGATTTTTTAGACCCTTAAATCGATTTAAAATGCGCAAAAAGATCGATTTAAATCGATTTAAAATCCATTTAAGTTCGTAAAATGTACATGGTTAATCGATTTGGATCGATTTTAAATCCATTTAAATCGACCGGAAACCATTTCTGTCAGTGCGGGTAGCTTCGCCGACTCAACAGAAGAGCAGGTGACAGATGGAATCTCGACAGCCAGATCCAGTCAATCGCAGAGAGTGAGTTTATATGTTTCCGGTTTTGAAGGTCATGAGTTGAAAATCCGATGCCTTAAAACCTCTTTCAAAACATTCAGCTGAAAATATTGGGTTTCGCTAAACTCGGAAATATTGGGTTTTTTTCAAATTCTTTTTCATTCTCGTATTTTCTAATATATTAGTGATTCAAGTTTCATAATTGGAAGCATGTATATAATGGTTTGCTTTCCTTGGCTCAAGCTAGATTCGAGTCCAATCATGCTTCTAGCAATTAACTGTTGTTTGGGTTCATCCAACCAGTATATTTCAATTTTTTTCCAGCATTGTTTTGACAAAGAAATGGACTAAGTTCATTGACCTCAAAATACTCTTTCTGACAAATGGCAGTTTAAATCCAATTTTACGTGGAATATGATTTGATTCAGACTACAGGATCTCAAGGATTACTGAAAAATGAGTCTTAATCTTGGAACATTTTGTGTTTTCACTCAAGATGCTGCTGGTGTTTAAGGTCCGTTATTTTGTAGATATTTTTAAATTTAATTGATTTTTTTAGTGAGCGAAGTTTTGGAGTCTTTTCTGTTATACGGCCCAAATTCTCAAAATGTTGATTGAGCTTTTAATTTTTTTGGCCTTTTTTTCGCTGATATTAATTTCAACCAATTAGATTCCAGCATCAAGATAATAAACTTACCAAATAGCAAAAAGAATAGTTTTTGGGCCGTATAACGGAAAAGACCCAAGTTTCAATGCCATTTCTTTTTGCTGAGCAGTTTGGCGGAAGTGGAAACGTGAGTGGGGGTGTTGACTTAACACATGGCAAGGGTGGGTTGGAATACTCCTCGACTGTTTCGTTTGGATGCCACTCTCAGAAAGAGCTGCAATTCGGAGGAGCAAGAGACTCTTCGGAGAGACAATCACGTCGCTTGCAGTCCATACGGGAAGGAGATCGTGGAAGAGCTGCAATTCGGAGGAGCAAGAGACTCTTCGGAGAGACAATCACGTCGCTTGCAGTCCATACGGGAAGGAGATCGTGGAAGAGCTGCAATTCGGAGGAGCAAGAGACTCTTCGGAGAGACAATCACGTCGCTTGCAGTCCATACGGGAAGGAGATCGTGGAAGAGCTGCAATTCGGAGGAGCAAGAGACTCTTCGGAGAGACAATCACGTCGCTTGCAGTCCATACGGGAAGGAGATCGTGGAAGAGCTGCAATTCGGACGAGCAAGAGACTCTTCGGAGAGACAATCACGTCGCTTGCAGTCCATACGGGAAGGAGATCGTGGAAGAGCTGCAATTCGGAGGAGCAAGAGACTCTTCGGAGAGACAATCACGTCGCTTGCAGTCCATACGGGAAGGAGATCGTGGAAGAGCTGCAATTCGGAGGAGCAAGAGACTCTTCGGAGAGACAATCACGTCGCTTGCAGTCCATACGGGAAGGAGATCGTGGAAGAGCTGCAATTCGGAGGAGCAAGAGACTCTTCGGAGAGACAATCACGTCGCTTGCAGTCCATACGGGAAGGAGATTGTGGAAGAGCTGCAATTCGGAGGAGCAAGAGACTCTTCGGAGAGACAATCACGTCGCTTGCAGTCCATACGGGAAGGAGATCGTGGAAGAGCTGCAATTCGGAGGAGCAAGAGACTCTTCGGAGAGACAATCACGTCGCTTGCAATCCATACGGGAAGGAGATCGTGGAAGAGCTGCAATTCGGAGGAGCAAGAGACTCTTCGGAGAGACAATCACGTCGCTTGCAGTCCATACGGGAAGGAGATCGTGGAAGAGCTGCAATTCGGAGGAGCAAGATACTCTTCGGAGAGACAATCACGTCGCTTGCAGTCCATACGGGAAGGAGATCGTGGAAGAGCTGCAATTCGGAGGAGCAAGAGACTCTTCGGAGAGACAATCACGTTGCTTGCAGTCCATACGGGAAGGAGATCGTGGAAGAGCTGCAATTCGGAGGAGCAAGAGACTCTTTGGAGAGACAATCACGTCGCTTGCAGTCCATACGGGAAGGAGATCGTGGAAGAGCATGGAAAACTCCAACCCTCCCATTCAGACATCATCTGATAAAAACTGTCTTTCAAAGAACACAGGAGGGATCCCCCCTATTGCAATAGTGGAGAATGATAACATGGTACAAATTTCGTATATGCTTAACTGTTCGATTCTTTCTTTATTGGGGGGGGGGGGGGTGAGTTTCGTTACAAAGTATCATGGGGGGGGGGGGGTAGTTAACAAGAACACACAGGAGTAAACGAGGCAAACTGTTGAGTTGTATACACTCGGAGAAGACCACGAGATCTCTGCGCTTCTGTGGATCCAAAATCCGAGAGGGTTTTGGCGAAGAGTGGATGCGTGTCTTTCTTTTGCATTGGATTACGCAATTTTGAAGTTCCAGCAAGCACACGTCATAGTGTACTATGTAGTGAAAGGTAAGTTTGAATCAATTTTCTATTCTTTAGTTTGCAAATCTAACCAATCAAAAAGCAATTTCGAGCTCTTCGATTTTCAGGCAGTGTAGGTGCCCAGTATGACGTGTGGGTGCTGCACCCGCTCATTTTCATCACATTTGCGACTGTATTTGTGCTCTTGGTTGAACCCAATGCAGTAGGAAGTTGTATCCCGGAGTTGAAAACCATCATCAGGGGAGTCACTCTCAACTAATACCTCAGCTTTAAAACTTTCATTTCAAATAAAGTCAGTTAACTCCCATAGCTCATTCCTAGTTAAAACATGCCGTCTTTTATATGAATCAAAAACATTCGATTCACTCATTTTTTTCTGTTTTGAAAAAAAAACAGATTGGGTTAGTTTATTAAAGATCGACCCTGAATGTACTCCGATTTTATAGATGCACCAAAAGTATATGTAGTTAACTGACAGCCTGTAAATCCAAGTACGGAACCATCAAAAACTAGAGAACTTTTCTTATCAAAAATGTAAAGAAAATGTAGGGGTATCATTAGGTGATTATACTGTGTTGGGTAAAGCTTGAAGAGACTGAGAATGTTTCAATTTAGATTGGACTGACAATAGTTCTGGGCAGTGGCATGCCCATCGGCAAGAAGGGTCCGTTTGTCCACGTGGCGTGCATGGCAGCAACCCAGCTCAGCTCCGCCGTCACTTCCTTCCAAGACGTGTCTACCGCAATTCCACTCGCAACACAGGGATGCTGGCAGGCGCGTGTGCAGTAGGAAATGCGTGCAATTTTGCTGCTCCATTTGTTTAGTGACGTCTTTTGTGCTCAAGCTTCTCAATATTTAGGAATATGTGAATTTTCTCCCACCTTAAGTTAAATGGTAAAATCAAGCAGTAAAGCTTGTATGCACAATGCTCAAATCTGATTGGCTGAAAAGTATTACGTTTAAGCAAGTGAACGATCCCCTCCCTAAATTGATTTAGGGGTGAGATTGTTAACTTGGTCCAGTTTTTATACAAACCACAAGTTAGTTTGATTGGTAAATGTGACTAAATAACCGATTCCATGTTGAATGACAATCAAATTGCACTGAGATGAGATAACTATCGGGTGATATTGAAACTGAGAAGGTTTCAAAGTAATGAGACTCTGTAAATCTAAGTACGGAACCATCAAAAACTAGAAAACTTTTCGTATCAAAAAAGTAAAGAAAAAGTAGTTTCAGTTATGGTTGTATCGGTAGTCCTTTTTAGGTGGGGTGCTGTTCAGCATAGAAGTCACGGCCACATACTTTGCTTGCAGTGCGTAACTATTGGAGGGATATTTTTAGTGCAGTAATAGGGGTACTAGTTTTCCAGTTGGTAGTCATGTAAGCCGACAATGAGCACACAATTACAGCTCTCTTCAGCAACAGTTTTCCCGTTGAGATCCCTTTTGACAACATTCTCTATTTACAGGGTCCATAATTACATCTGGATGGTCCGACGGATTAAAATCTGCGTTATCTACAATTTGAGTATTTACAGTCTGATCTCTAACTTCGCCTGGAATTCCCCGCCCGGGACCGGTACTCTACTCACTCTTGAACAGGAAGAGGTAAAGAAAAAGGAAAGGTATTACTAAAGCAGGAATTTTTAAAGAATATTAAGACGTTTTATTTTCAAATTAAAAATTTTTTAATGTAATTTTACCTAAACAGGAGAAGTTTTCTTGGTGCGATTTGCAGTTTTTTCATAAACCTTTTAAAGGCGTGTATATCTCTCGGGATACTGCAATTGCAGAGTAAAGTTTTCGTGTACTTTCTGAAGGTTAGTTTTGATTGAGGAGACTTAGTGAGTTAAAATTAAGTTGTGAAGTCATTACTTTGTTTAGACGTTGAGTCACTGGAACACTGAACCAAGTGGAATCTTCGTCTGTCTCAGATTGTTTGTTGCTTCCAAATTCGTCCTTTCCGCTCTTGCCGTGACCATGCCAATCCCTAGCGGTATCTGTTTGCACACTTTTCCCATTGGGGCTGGCTTCGGTCGGATAGTCGGGGAGTTCTTCCATTACTGGTTTCCAGACCGAATTGGGGTCGTCGAGATCCAACCGAGAAGCTATATCAACATCAGCCATCGTCTTCGAACTGACAGTTCATATTGCGCACTCTCTTCCGGTGCTAATTGCAGTCATCTTGGCCAACATGGTCGCCCAGTGTCTACAACCATCAATGTGGACAAAGATAGTAACATCCAGATGAATCAGTTGCCGTTCCTAACTGACATCGCCTCCGCTTCCAGGGAATTTTACGACATCACAGCTGAACAAATCATGCAAACGAAGCTGAGTTATATATGCTGGAGACAGCCATAGAAGGAAGTCTACAGTATAATCCGTAGCTTGAGCACTTAGTAGAAAGTCACGTGAGTATGGTGTTGCTAGGCACAATGCGAGTGGGAATTTTACAAGCCAAGATACAACAGCAAATCAGTCGACCAGCGTTGCTGAAGTTCATACGTAATGGATGCGACTTCAACGCACTGAATTTAAAAACTCAACAGAAGTAGAGACGCAATCCGAATGCAATTTCAAATGACAATGAAAATACACGTTACAAATTGGAGAGAAACACAGGAAAATCACCAAGCAATGAGTCCTATTGAATACAATAAAGGATGCGTCAGCGCCCGACAGCCAATACATGAACGAGAGACGCCAATCGAAGACCATTTTCAACACAGACTTCCACAGAGTTTCCTGGCTACGAATCCGGCCGCAATGAAGAAGGTCAAAGTGAAAACCTTGTGTGGCTTATTTTCTGGTTCTTTAGCTGATATTTCCACGGCCTCATCTTTGGTACAAGACCATGCAACTCTTGTTGCTGCGTACCAACATAGCAGGAGAAACTCAGCCACAGGTAAATATTATAGTCAGCGGCATGGTACTCTTAGAAGACATTAAGAGTACTTTTGATTTTTCTTATAACGCAGGCATTTAATAATCTTTTTTAAATTGCAGAACATATGATGCAAAAATGGGTGTTCGATCTTCTGGTATTAATTGTTTTTGAAAAATAGTTCTTTAGTTTTTCGTACAGGACTTGTATCTTCAGCATACGATCACCACTCGAAGTCCGCTAGCTCAAATATGCACGGGGGCAACAAATCAAACACGATGACAAATATGACTCAAAATGACGCAAAATGACGTCAGACTAGCTGTCCAGCATTCATCTGCGTATATAGATATTTGCGAGTTACAAGAAAAGAAAACGACACCGATCTTTTGACAGCAGTTGTGCTACAATTGTCTATAGTGATGACGGAAGGACACTCAGATAATAATGAGTGTCCTTCGTCATCATGTGATGACCATGACAAAAATGGACACCACAACTAAGCCAATACAGCGGAACTCGATCGGGAAAAAGTGTCTTGGAAACAAAGATCGAATAATAGTGATGTGCAGTCGGCGTCTAAATCATCAGACTCGGCAAGTTATCGTCATCGACTTTTTTTTCAATTTAATCAGTTTTTTTTTCCACCGAAAATAATTGGGTTTTTGTGCCAAACCAATCGACTTCTCTATTGTGTACTTGTAATTTGCGTAACCAATTTTCCTCAAGTGAGTTCAGCTCACGATAAAAATGAGGAAAATTTTTTTCTTGATTGCAATTTTTTTTTGAATTTGTCAAAAAAAATCATTAATATAAATTTTGAATAGTCAAAACTGAAAGTGTTACGACCCCAATAGTATTTAGGCAATATAATCAATTTGATATAGATTTTATACAGATTATATACAGATTATCTTCAGATTAACTTTAGGTTTTCTTGTATAAGGGTTATATATTGACTATATGCAGATTATCTACAGATTATATACAGGCTTTACTAAAACCTGTATTTAATATGTAGATAATTTGCATAAAGTCAGTATATAATCCTTACACGAAAAAAACTGTATATAATCTGTAGGTCTGTAGATAATCTGCATATAGTCAGTAAATAATTTTTAACAAAAAAACCTGTAGATAATATGTAGATAATATGTAGATAATCTGTAGATAATATGTAGATAATATGTAGATAATCTGTATATAATTTGTTTAAAATCTGTATCAAATTGATTATTTTGCATAAAAACTATAGGGGTCGTAACAATTTCAATGTTGACACTTCAATACTTATATTAATGATTTTTTTGACAAATTCAACAAAAAATTGCAACCAGGAAAAAATTTCTTCAATTTTTTAGTGAGCTTGAGAGGAATATTTATTACGCAAACTAAAAATTTCAAGATATTCCTCCAAGATTTTGCAATCTAAGGGTTTCCAGGGTAGGAAAAGTAATTTTGCGCAAAACTTCATCGAATGCCATTTCGAAGATCAGCCTGTTTAGCGCAATTTTGTGATAAAAACATCGAGAAAAATTAGAAAAACTAACATAAAGGAAATTATTTTTTGCTGCAACTTCTATTTTTGCTTTCTTTTTGAGGTATTTTTGGTTCTGGTGTGTTTGATCTTTGTGGGTCTATATTTTGCTGTTGAATTGTTTTTGTATTTTTTGTGGTATTAACGTTTTGATTTTGTTCTATTTGTGGGTTATTTTGAACGATGTGTTTACCTGTGAAAGAATATAATTGAGTTAATTCGCAAAGTGCGTATTCCCTCGGATAATAAGGTAAAAGGTTGTTACGGTGTTTTATGATTTCCTTCTTGCTGGAGTCAGTAAGTTTGTATGTTACTTCAGTAGGTTGATCAATTATTTGGTATGGTCCTTTTCGAAGTAGTTATAATTTTTTGGATATTCTTTTTTGTGTATTAAAATTAGATATTAAAACGATTGTTCCAATTTTTAAGTCTCTGGCTGGCACGAAGCGTGAATTAATTTGGTTATTTATATTTTGCCTTTGTAACAGTTTTTTGTTACTTTTTGGTAGATTTCACTGTGTTTTTTTTTATCATTTTTAAAATCCATTTAGTATGTGTACCGGAAGCTAATTTCAAAATTTGTGGATGATGAAAGTGGTCTTCATCATGTGTGTGTAAGGGTAGGGGTATAGATATTCAATCTTTGTTGGGTTGACAATAACCTTGAGCATTTTTATGAGCGTTTGCTGTAAACATGATTGGTTTTCGTGGCTTTTGATTAAAAACCATTTCGTATGGTGACATTCCTAAAGCTGTTGTAATTTGTGAATTATAGGATAATGGGAATAATTTTACATCTGTTGACTATTCAGTGTTTCTTGTATCATTTCCATTAAGGATGCATCTAAGATATTCTTGTAGTGAACGGTTCATACCTTCGACCAATCCATTTGTCCAACGTGCATGAGATGTAGGTGGTTTATGTTCAATATCATTCAGGTGGCATAATGTGATGATTTAGTTATTAATGAATTCTGTTCCATTATCTGTGATTAGTATTTCTGGTAGTCCAAAATTAGCTATCCAATGATCGTAAAGTGTTGTGTATGCGTAATAAGCATTACAATGTGGTACTGGGTTGAGTGCTACGTAGTGTGTAAATGCATCAAGAATTACCATAATATAAGATTTTCCTTCGGAGGATGGTGAAAGTGGTCCTTTTGTGTCGAATGAGATTCTATGATTGAAATATAGATTTTGTCCTTTAAAATCTTGTTTTGTTGCTATTTGTTTTTGATTTGGATAAGGTTTATTTAATTGACATTTTATGCAATCGTTGCATAATACTTTAATCCAAATTGGTGCATTTGGGGAGTAAACATTTTGTGTAAAATTTCAATATGTCTTTTCTGATCCTGAGTGTTCTTTTGTATGTTGTGTATGGGATATGTTAATTGCTATCAGCATCATGCTGAGGGGGAGACAGGGTACTTTAAAATCGGGTGTTTGGTATTCTAAAAGGTCTGTAGTTTCATTAATAGTTGTATTATTGTTTTTTCTAAAGTATCGGAGGAGTGTTTTGTTTCCTAAGATTGTTGTATCAGCCTTTGTTGGTTTTGTTTATACTTGTGCCATGATTTGAGTTGTCGAATTACGGGATCAAAGTTTTTGATATTTTGTAATAACTGTAGTGTAATTTTTTCTGTTGGTGGTAGAAAATTATTTTCAACTTCTAATTTTCACGAAGGAATTGTGTCGAGTGGGTGATAGAGATCAAAAACTTGATTTATTGTGTATTTTGAATCATTTATTGGTGGTCCTGATAAATTTATTTTGTCAGTTAAGTTTTCTTTTTCTATCAATGGAAAGGTGTTATTTTTGGTGTGGTTGTTGTTTGATTGTTTTTTGTTGAGTACTATTTTTAATCCAATGTGAATAAGGAATTGGTTTGAATGTGGATGTTCCTAATAGATCTGCTTCATAGTGGTTGTTTTGACAGTCTAAATAGAGTGGGAAATAATGTAAGTTATTTATTTGTGACTGATCTATATCAGTTTTTACTGCGTATTTGCACTCTAATCTTGGTGATGTTTCATTTTTTGCAAGGTAGAATTTAATATTTTGTGGTATTTCAACTGTGGTTTTTCGTGTAAGTAGTTCAGGAGGTGTAATTCTACTTAATGTAGTACACGATAATGGTGGTGCAAGATTTTTTCCTGCTGTCCAAACTATATGTAAGTTTGGGAATTTCATTAAAAATAATTGAAATCTGTAAACTCTATGGTTTGGGTTTGACTTCTGTGTAAAAAGAAATTTAATAGGTTTATGATCTGTAAATAGAACTGTTGGATGTTTAGATCCAAGTATCAGAAATTCATATTCGGTAGTGTGTATATTATAGCTGGGCATTCTCTCATGAGAGTAGAGAGTCGTAGTTCAGCTTGTGTAAATAAGCGAAAATATGCAGATATAAGATTCATTTTGTTTGTTGCACTGTGTGATTGTAGCAATGCTGCGCCGATGCCAAAATTTGAAGCATCGCACATTGCGTAAAATGGTTGATTTGGATCTGGGATTGTATTTGATATTTGTTCTGTTAACAATTTTTATTTTCTTCGAATTTTGTTTGATTTTCGTTAGTCCATTCGAAGTTATTTTGTTGTCTAAGGATGTTATAGAAAGGTCTTAAGTATAATTGTATTTTGTATACATATTTACTTAAGAAATTTAGAATTTCAAGGAATTCTTGTATTTTATTTTTATTTGTGGGTGGTTGAAGTTTCTGAATCGCGTGTGTTTGTGATTTCAATGGAGTTATAGTGTTTCTTTCGATAATGTGGCCAAGAAATTTTACGCGTGTTAGGAAAAAATGTGATTTGTCTGGGGCTGCTATCATGTTTTCATTTTTGAGTATTTGATGATTTTGTTCTAAAACTATAAACATTTCGTCTTTCGTTTGTGACTGCATAAAAACCTCATCTAAGTATGTGATTGCATGTTTTTTGAGTATAAGTGGTCTAAAAATTTTACTCATAAAAGCTGAAAAAGCTGCTGGTCCTATGAAAATTCCCAAGAATAATCTATTGAATTCGTATTGTTGATTTCCAATAACGAATTGGGTTAATCGTCGTGATTGTTCATCTAGTGGCATTTGATTGTATGCACTATTCATATCTGCGGTTGTGAACTATTTACCATTTGTTTTTGTTAGAAATACTTGAATAGGTTCAATGGGCCAATTGCATTTAGTTTTGTCAATTTGTGAATTGAGGTATCTAGCATCTAGAACGATTTTAGTGATTCTCCTTTAGCTAAGATGATAACTGGGTTGATAAAGGTGTTACCTTTTGGTTGTTCCTCTTTGTTTACTGGTGATATAATTTCATATTGTTCCAAAATGTGAAGTAGTCTGTTTACTCTATCTTGTAAATGTATCGGTGCGTTACTTGCTGTTTGTTTTTTGAAAACTGCGTCAGGTTTTAAAGGTAAATGTAGTGGTGAACTGATGTTTCCAACATCGAATTTTGATTTTGCATAAGTTGTTGGAAATTTTAATAATAGTTCGGCTAATTTATCGAATTCTTTTTGTGTTCTTTGAGAATGTTGAAAATTAAACATTGTTAGAAACTTTTGTTGTTCTTCCGTATAATGTGATATTTTAAACGTTGGTTTAAAATATGGTGTTTTTGTGAAGTATTCAGTGTTTCTTTTTTCGTTGCTAAATTATGTTGTTTATTGATAATTATTCATCAAGAATTGTGGATTGACATATATCTAGTAATTGTAAAATATTATTGACTCGATATGCTACTTCATTTGTGGGTGAAGTTGTAGCATTTGTTTCGCAGTATCATAAGAGTCCTAAGGGTAGTGTTATTTGATATGGTGAATTGTTATATACGTGTAATGAAATAATATCTGAGTTTGAATGTTTCATATATTTTATTGATGAAATTGTGATTCGGAAAAATTTATGGATGGGTTTAAATCCATGATCTGACATAAAGAAATGTTGTTTGTTTTGGTCTTTATCGTACTGGTGAACTTGCTTGATTGAAAAGTTATATACATTTCCTGATAGTGGTTTCAGGTGTTTTGGTTCCTGATTGTAAATAGGAT